CACAGGAAGTGGCATGTCGTATCCAACCGCCGTCTCTCTGGGTCCTACAAGCTTCCTCCCACTATACGATTCGGACTCTCGTGAGAGAACATAAGCTAACCAGGCCACTGAATCACTCCTCATCTCTCCCCCTACTCTCGGTCAGCATCACTCTACTCCCTCCGATGCACCCCATCTCTCGACGTTGCTAACCCTTCAGACAACACTCGTATTCAGATCCAGTATGGTCGAGTAGGTTCAGTAGCCAAGCTCACTCAACCGTCGCCCTAATGTGCACTTCTACCTCCTACGTCCGAACTGCTACTCCTATCCTGGGAAAATGGGCGTCTGTAACGTCAATCTCCTCCTCGTCAACCTCACTCTCTCGGTCGACCCAGTCTGGCTCTCAGGCATCCTCGTCGTCCTCTCGCTCCCAACCTTCATCGTCAAACTCGTCCTCGACGTGGTACGGCGCGTGTCCTATACCCTGGTAGTATTGCGCCAACTGATGGCCGTATATCAGAGGTCGCCCGGCGTCCTCACCCCACCAGCTCCCCCAGTCGTCTGAGAAGAGCCGCCCGATGCAGGTCACGTACTCGGGGCCTGCTCGGAGCTCACGGTCTAGCCAATCCCAAACGCACGGAGACTGGGGCCACTCGTCGTCTATCGAGCGGATCAGCTCTATGAGCTGAACCCTCTCGTCTCCCCAACGAGGCCCACCGGTCGCAAGCGAATAATAGATGTAGTCTAGGTCGGCAGGCCTTCTCGCCAGGATCTTGAGATCCTCATAGACCAGGTATGTCTCGACCACTCCACCAATACCTCCAAAGACGCTCTCTACTACGAACGTCGGAACTATCGCCCGCAGGCACCTAACGTTGTACGAGAAAAACCTGTCTCGTGCTACCACCAGCTCGCCCGTGATATCAAGAGGAGGGCGTCCGTGAAATAGGGTCAACGGATAGCTCGAGTCCGCCGCTCGGAAGGCAGCTACCTCTTCCTCTAGGTAGCGTAACGCCCTGCTAACTGTGTCACTAGTCCCTGTCGTCGCGAGGCCCACCACGGCCTCCCTGACCGCACCCGGTCCTAGATACACGTAGGCTCTCACTACGCCCACTCCTTGCCCCGGCCGGTGCTCTCTGTACGTCCAAAGCCACACGTCCTCGGACAAGATTACGGACCTCCACGGAAATTGACCGTCAAAGTGTCGAATGTTACGTCCGGGGATCGTGAGCTCGACCAGATCCCTCTCTATGAGTTCAAGGGGCTCCAAGTCCCAGGCAATGGTAGCCCCATAGACCTCTACTTGCACTCGTGGCCACATTCAACTGGCGGCTAGAGAGAACGCAGCAAGAGGGAGGTGTAGATTAATAACTGAAAATTTCCGTCACTTGCCTCACGCCTTCGGGAACAAGCTAGTAGGTTCACCTGAAGCCAGGTTACCGCAACGTCTCTTTCCCTTCTCCTTCTAGGGAATTCTTTTGTATTTTCCAATTATAAATTAAAAAAAATATATTTAGTTAATATAAAATTCCTTTCTTAGTTTATATATATTAAGGATCAATACATATATAAGCCCGCCGAGTTTGATGCTTTTTAGGGGTAGAAATAAAATTTGGGGAATTTACTAAAATTTCGGCAGCGTTTCGCCTCTCCCCATTGGGATGGGGTTCGGGACTATTGTCCCCAGTCAAATGCTACCTACCCAGAACTAAAGCCAAATGAAACAAAAAACCGCTGAAAGAAACAAATTCCTAATGTATTTTTAGTTAATTTCCCTAATCGCTTTCAATATATTTATATATATATATAAAAAAAAGGATTAATAATTTAAATTAGGAAATTTTGCGAAGTTTCGGCAGCACTTTGGCTCCCCCCCGTTGGGATAGAGTTTGGCCGAAGACCTCAAAATGCCTATAGAAGATGTTTAACAAGAAAGATTAAGAACTGAAAAAGTATCTCAATTTTTAGCTAATTTTCAAGTATTTTCTTTAATTATTTAAGATTTAATTGAATAAAATTCAGCAAATTGCCGAGAAATTTCGGCAGCACTTTGCTTCCCCCCGTTGGAATGGGGTTAAGCGAAGTATCTCCCGAATCACGAAGTCGAAATAAAGCCGACTCCCCCTTCTTGAAGAATTTTGGATATTTATTTTGATTTTTAATTGGTTTTAAATGACAAATTATTACTTAAATTATTTAATAAAACAAAAATTCCCAATATTGATTAATTTCAATTTGGTCAACTGGATTTATACAAAATTTTCCCGTCACCGGTTGGATAGAAAGACTTGTATCCGCCCGGCTACGCACCGCCTTTCCCTAACTTAGGGTTAGGGTTTACCCTTTGTAGTCAGTTAAAAGTCGGGTTCCAACAGGTCACTTTTGCCGACTTCTGTTTCCCTTTTATTTTTATAAAGATACAAAGAAAATCACTAATCCCTCTTAATTTTCCCCCTCTTTTCCTGTCTGTTGGCGGTCACTCGTCCAAACGGAGTCCGTTTTCCCCGACTAAGGTCTCAAAATGTCGAGAAAAATACAAGGACCAACTTTGGTTTGGGCGGGGTTCACCTAATTTCGCTTTTTTTCTTCGTAATTAAAATAAAAGGAAATTCATGATTTTCGGAATTTTAATTAGAAAAATACAAAAAATTCCATATCTCCTTTTCTAGCCATTAAAATTTTTCAAAAAATGTCTCAAAACGTTCTCTTCGAGGAGAGGTCGAACTTTGCTCCCCGTGCGCCTCGCGCAAAAACGCGCGGATCGGGAGATATCGAAAAAAAAACGAATTAAAAATTTAAACTCATGATTTTTGAGATTTTTAATTAGAAAATACAAAAAAATCCATATCTCTTTTTCTAGCCGTTAGAATTTTTCAAAAAACGTCTCAAAACGTTCGCCTCGACGAGAGGGCGAACTTTGCTCCCTATGCGGCTCGCACAAAAGCGCGCGGATCGGGAGATATTTAAAAAAAAACTAAATAAAATGATTATAAAAAATAAAACTAATCAAGAAAACAAGCTAATTAGTGTTTGACTAATCAGCCCGTGCACCCCCGTTGGTTGGGGAAGGCCGCGGCCTTGGGGGTGCTGCTCCCCTCCCCGGCAATGGCGCCAAAGTTGTAAGAAAACCCGGGGAGGGGCGCTTACCGTTCGCTGAAGCCAAGGGCTACGGCGCCTGTCACTCGCCGCGCCCGCTTCCGAGGTCCTCAGCGACCAGCAGGGATCGAAGTCGGGGGCGTCCTGTCACGCTCCCTATTTTCTTTTTCTTCCTTTTTGTAATTTAGCAGCTTCGATCAGCAAGGAGTTCCAACAGTCAACTTGTATCGCTCAACAGTGCGTTTCAGCAATCAATTAATAATTCAGCCAATTCACGCGCTAACGAGTTTCAACAGTCAACCGGTGTCACACAGCAGTGCGTTTCAACAGCGAATGGATAATTCAGCCACCCCACGCAATGGTGAGTTTTTAGCAGTCAACTGGGAATAGCAACTAGGCCACCACAGCAAGTTTCACAGTCAACTTTGGATGTGCCACCGCACTTTCTCTTTCTCTCCCTTTCGCTGTTCTCGCTCCCTTACTCACGCTGTTCTCTCTCTCTCTCACTCTCGCTGCTCTCTCTCTCTCACTCTCGCTGTTCTCTCTCTCTCWCTCTCGCTGTTCTCTCTCTCTCAGTCCCGCTGCTCTCTCTCTCTCAGTCTCGCTGCTCTCTCTCTCAGTCTCGCTGCTCTCTCTCTCTCACTCTCGCTCTCTCTTCTTTTCTCTCTCTCTCTCTTCCTTTCTCTCTTTCACTCTTTCTTGCTACCTGACCTTTCTCTTTCTCGCTTTGTTCCTTTCCTCTCTCTTGAATCCTTTTTTTTCTCTCACACTCTTACTCACTTTGTTGACCCCTGCTCAGAAAGGGGGCCTCGTAATACGAGTAAGGCTCCTCCGCTCAATCAACGGCTTGACACTTGGGGAACAACGAAGCAATTTAAAGAAACTAGAGAGCAAAAAGATGATTCATAACACTTGTCCCAGGCAGACAAAACGACAAGTATTGGAAATAGTCAGCGTGCCACTTCACACGTTTATAGTTATGTATACCTTTGAGTAATTAAACTTGAATACGAGAAAACTGATGGTGCGTACATTCAGCCGAACTAGATCACATGCTCAGCGAGTCAGATGTCACGCCACATTAGCATACATGCGTTCACTCTTGTCACTCGTTTGCAGTGCAGCAGAGGGACTTTGATTCACCGCACTCGCGCTCGAAGCCGATTCTATTTCTAGAGAGAACCCGTGACCCGAAGAGCTTGAACGTCAGAATTTCCCAACAAGACAATTCCCATAGACAATAATCCGACTAGTCTAACTAATTTTTAAACGCAGTTCACATCATGGAAACCTTGTCTTCGGGCGGTGCTCGGGAAGCGGCTGCAAGTTCTGAAGAATCTCCCCCGAAAAATGTTTTTCACGCGGGCAATCAGTGTTAGTTTTGCCCTCTCTCTCTCTACTTCGCACCGGTCCTTCTCTCTGCACTCGTGACTCTCGGCTCACAGTCATTCGGTTACAAACCTACCTGGCCGCATAAGTTGGTCATTCAAATGAGGGCCGAAGGTCATCTGCCTCCTGTGCAGACAACCCGTGGCGTAATTCTGCCTCCGTTGAGAGTGGCTGGTTCTGGTGTCTGATGGCTGATTCTGGCCGTCTCGAGAGTCGTTGATTTGATCTTCAATCTGCCGCTGGCGAGGGCATCAATCAGTCTTGAAGTTATAGAAGGGTCATCCTCCTATGGCGTCGGCTCATACATTCTCTTGTTCGTTTCTCTCAACCCTCACGTGTGCTAGCAGGGCGTCAGATACTCCTATCGCTCCGGTGCTTCCTCCCACCATCGTCAACCGTCCCCTTTTCAAGACCATCCAGGGCGCAGGAGGGCGATGGGGAGCGCTCGACTCCCTGCTGAGGCGTTCGAATCTTCCCTCTTTCTAGTTCTCTCCCCATTCGCAATCACATCCAACGGGCTGATGCGGCGCACCACATCTCGTCAGAAAACGCGTGACCCATGTAATCAACCGGCACCCGAACCGCGAACTCAATCATTGTAGCCGAAGACGCGCGCGCCCCGCACAGCGCGCACACTGTATGCTCAGCTATACCCAAGCCGCCTTTCTTTCAGGCACAACGCTCAGTGCGCAAGCTACGAAGTCAACGAAGTTGTATACCTGTCTGCTCCCCTGCACCTGCGTTCCATCTGAGCCCCGATGTCTCCACTCCGAGCTTTCTCTGCGCTGGGCACACCGTGCATGCTCCCCTCTCTCCTGCTGCTCCCTGCTCACGCGGAGTAACCGCCTCATGCTTGCAAGCGAGTACACCTTGCTCGCGCTGAGTGTCCAACCCCCCAGTCAGCCCAACCTTCCTCCTCATATGGTGTCCGGCTCAGTCGTCCACCCCGGGCCACTTCGTCCCTGGCTGCTGCAACCGCTTGGGCGTGGACTCCTCGTACCTGCTGGGGCGGAGTACACCTCGCACACGTGCCTGAAGGCCCCCCCCCACTCAGTCCCACTCGGGGCCTATATTTGTGCCTGACCGCCGCAACTTCCCTCTGCCTGCCGCGCTATGTTGGCCTGAAATAGAAGCTGGCCCCGTCTGTCACAGCGGTACCGGCCATTAGACCCGCAAATATTGAAAGCTTTGACCTGGGGCCTAGGCCAGATTGCAGCCCATACACCGCTGCACCCGCGCTATAGCTGCCCCATCCCCGCACATCCCGATCCAACAGTCGAAATTCCCACTTCGTGCGGCCATTGTGCTTCACGAAAACCATGCCGTGTCAGTTGCTTACCGCGGTTTCCACCGCGGCCGTCCAGGGACAGTTGTGACTGTACCGCCCCTGTTCCAAGCTAGTACACCCGAAGGTGCCATGCCGTCCCTCAGATGTGCCCTTGTACCGTACCAGATAAGCTGAATTGCCTTCATACTGTCTCGAACCTGAAATAAATGTTGCGTCAATCCCGAGCCTGAAGTAATTCATCGTGCCGACCCCGAAGTAAGCCGTCCCAATACGTGGTCGCACCTGCCCACACCGAATACTGTAGGGCGCCGCTTTACCTGGGTAACGCCAATCCTGCTCCGGACCTGAAGTAAGCAGCCGTAACGGTGCCGGAGCTGAAATACGCCGCCATGGTAGTGCCGAACCTGAAATAAATCACTGTGTCGATGCCGCACATGAAGTAAATAGCCATGATGATTAATGTGAAAATAACCCACGGTGATAGTCTCGAACCTAATATAGAATGCCGCAACGTTTCCGGACCTGAAAACAAACTGCCGCCATGGTTCCAAACCTGGAATAACTGTCGTAGTGGTCCCGGTCCTGAGAATAAATCATCGCAGCTGTCCCAGGTGTCACCGGGCCCATACTGAACCTGAAGCACGTCAGACACCGTAGGACGTAGCCACTCCGTAACATCCCTCGTATCCGTACCGGACCAAACACCATACCGTCGAGCCAAGGTAGCACCCCCCCATGCTGCCCATGCGACTCCCGCTCTCAAAACATCCCAACTGCGGTAGTGTTAGTAATCAAGCAAACCAGGGAAAACGTCGCAGGGAATCTCGACCATCGGCAGTAGTGAAAACTGTTAGAATCCAAAAAAAAAGATCAATCCGGGGTCAGAGCCGATGGCGGGTAATCGCAACGAAATTTAGCCGATCTCATATTAGTCATGGGTTTCCGTCTGCTTTCATCCTTCTTAATCATTCTGCGTTTTCCTTAATTCTATTGTCTGAAATAGTAAATTAACCGTAAATTTTCCAAAATTAAATTCCGAGTGAGTTTAAATAAATGGTCGAATTCCTTTCGTTTCATACTTCTTTTTCCATTTTTAATATTTTTATTGTGTCTTTAATTTCATTCCCGGTTACATAAAATATCAAGGATATTCCGCCTATAATTAAATGCCGTGAAAAATAGAGGAATTAAGGGATATTATATTTTCCCCCTCTCCCCTATTGGTGTTAATCCTTTTTCCCCATCTTTAATTATGGCACCAAGAAAGACAAAAATCCGAGGCCTCATTCCGTCCCCGGTCGTATGTTGCATAAGCGTCGCGGCGAGGTCTGCCCCCTCGATGCCTCCTCGCGGCAAGCAAAACCGGCTCCAGCCTTCTGAACGGCCGGATATGACGGTCTCCAGATACACCGAGTCCGCCCACCCATCTCGCTATCTTTGAGGGTTAATCGTAAGGTTCAGTGTGCCCAGAATCAGGGGTACCCTGAGTTCCCCTAATTTCTGCTGCCCGGTCAAACCAGAGTACCGTCAAAACACGGACTTGCCATTGAGCCTAAGTCCCAAAACCGCAGATTTCATGCGGCGCACTGCTTGTGGCCGCCTGACACCGTTGCGAGACAAAATCGCGGGCCACCTTGGCAACGTAGCCAAGCATGTCCCCCACCGCGACGTCGTCTACCGTCGGCGAAGTTGGTGGTGCATGGAAGTAAAGATACTGGTGTAAGAGGGCGCATAAGGCTGTGCTTTGCGGCCCCGGAAGGTTGCCCGTCGTAGGGAGAGGAATCCAAGCGAAGTCCTCGGGCGTGAGCGGGTCCAAAGCCTCCTCGTTGAACACGCTTGCCGAATCCCTTGATGAAGACGAACTGGCGGAAGAACCTTCGGACGGTGAGAAAGCCGCACATGTATCTTGTCCTTGAGAAGCATCCAGTGAAGGAACGAGCCGGGCAGCGAAGTCTTCGAACGAAAGTGAAGACTCCCGACGTCCGCATATGCCTCGGAAGAAAGGGCGGTCGTGCGCACAACCACTTCCGATGGCGTCGAGGGAGGTGTCGAGTCAYCCTCGGCGGCGCCTACTTTCCCTGACGGGGTTTCCCTTTGGTGGGGCAATGTGCARCATYGTGGATGGTKCTGTTGCACCAAAGKCAGTAACGGTACTTGAGTCTCGTGCGATAAGAATTCGCCGAGAGTCCGTATTGTGCCCAAGGTTCGTCGGCAGCTGATCCGGTGCTCGGTGTAGAGGTGGACTGAGTCTTTGTCTTGTCGCGGCCGTGGTTGTTGCGCGGCCGGCCACCATCCCGGGCAGCTGCCAACACTTCACCCTCGTTTGGTGTTGCAGCCTCGGTAGAAGTAATGCAAGCCACCTTTGGCTTGGGCTGGGTGCCGCTCGTCGTCGCGKAAGATCGGTCGGCGTTGCGGGCTTCGATATTCATGAGAATGATCCGTGACGCTGTGCTGAAAAGCTTGTCAGATGTGTCGAGTGTCTCTGCAATCTGCGTCAGCTCGTTTTGCAGAGCTGGACACGAGCGCTTGATAAACAAGTGCTTGATGGCGCGGAATGCGAGCGGCAGGTCAAGTGTGGAGTCGTCTTTGGAACTCGGTAATCCAGTCCTGACTGAGCAACGTGTTCTGATGGAGCTTGTTGAGTTTGTCCATCGCTTAGAGGTCAGGTGGCTCCACTTGGAATCGCTTGTGCCAGGCGTCGGTCAACTCCTGCCAAGTGAGCTTGGTGTGCAGTTCCGACACTGCTACGCCGTGGCTGGTCAAGATGTTGTCCAGCCATGCTTGACGCACACCACCAGATCGGTGGTACAAGTACGGATGTCGATCGTTGTTCAGGACATGGTGCATGTCGAGCCTGAGAGTAAACTGGCGCCACCACGGGATCGGTTTCGTCTTGGACTGATCGCAGAAGACGGGAATGTCATCCAGCTTGGGTGGGCGCTGGGAGGATGAGGCGGCGGGCGTCACGGTGGCAGCAGCCTGGACCTGCGTCTCCAACAGCAAGTTCGTTGCTTTCTGCGACGTCCGGAAGTCCTGATGCACACGCTTGATGTTGCTCACGTCATCCTCCAAAACTTGCACACGGGTGGTAAGGGTGGAAGGCCCTGCGGCTGCTACAACAGCTGGCTGTTTCTCCAACGCATGCAGCCGTGTGAGCATCTGGTCCACTGTCTGCTGCAGGTGAAGGATTTCCTCCTGCTGCAGAGCGCAGGTGGCCACGAGGTCGTGGGAGACCTG